CATGCTTTTTTTATTGTCTACAATTTAACTGAACAGAGAAAACTGGTGAAATAACAGTTAAAAACAATATTTATCATTTTTCAACTCCTCATTTACAAACAGACATTTTTCTGTTGCAAAATAATATTTTTTGTGGCTTTAAATACAGTAACTATGTAGTGATTTTGTGGGCACACACACTATAAAAGCACGAATTGCTATTTGTAAAAACACAAATAATTGATGTGGACATTGTTTACAGCTTTGCCCTGTTGTATTTATTCTATTTTTTTTTTTTTACAGTCAACATATAAATTGTTGTTTCTTTTGTTTTTTGTTTTTTTTTTAAAAATATACTATACATATATTTAACAAAACAGGAAAAATCTGTAAAATAACAATTTAAAAAATGATTCAGAATTTTTCAATTCCTAATATAAATAATTTCAAGTATAATTGCTAATATGTGTAAAACAAGGATATTTTGAGTGGATTTATATACAATACAACTGTGTAATTCTACAGTTACAAATTGTAAAAGGAAAAAAAAAGACCATTTGTTAAAATACAGATTGTGGAGGAAGATATTATTTAAAGTGGAGGCTATTTACAGTTAGTTATTATCTGTAGTTTTTCAAAAAAAGGTAAAGATGCAAAATAACACCTGAAAAATAATTGTACCATCAAATTTTATTAAAATAATGATGTTCTTGTGGATTTAAATACAGTATTAACTGCATAATTCTATAGTCACACATGATCAAAGAACAAATGAGTATTTGTAAAAGCATTACACACTATTTACAGTTTTGACCATTCTTTCTTTTATGTTTAAGTCAATAGTTGTTTTCTGAGATTTCACAGAATTTGATCTGTATTATAACAAAACAAGGAAAATCTGTGAAACACCAGTAAACTGTTGGGTAAACACCAGTGGTTTTATGCAGCGTGTAGAGCAGTGCTCGGTGTCTCGCTGCTCTGCTTTCCCACACTTCCAGCGCTGCTGTCCACTGCCAAGGCCAACACTCCTGTGGGACTGAACCCATGTGGCCAGAAAGATGCTGCCGCTGCCAGGAGGGGAGGTTGTTTTAATCATGTGTTGTGTCAACATGGACTCTGAGATCGGTGCCAGCTGCCTGCAGACACACAGCAGATCGGTGGACTCCCCGTGTGATCGGACCACAGCTCCACTCTGCCAACTGTACAGAAGAAACAAGCCTGACACGGTGTCTCCCTGCCAGCTTCCTGCCATCACGGTAATGCAGACTGGCGTGCAGCGATAGCAGGTCTGCAGCGGCCGTGCACAGCTGTGAGGCCTGAGACTTTACTGCAACACTTCAAAACACCAGGCTGAATGTGACATCAAATCAAAGGCTGCAGCTGAAATCAGAAGCAAACAGCAACTGATGCATGAAAAAGAAAGAAATAGATAGACGGCCTTCTTACATATGAGAGCAAAACTTTGAGGCTCTTTTGATGTTAAATAGAATCTGTTCATGTGTCCATGTGGGGCTTTCATGCCACAGCTGAGCATCTCCACTTCAAACTGCTGTGTACTAATGACACGTTTTTAACTGTCATTTGTTGAATGATTTATGCTTACTTTACATATTTTCCCTATTTTGTTAAATTACAGATTGCATCTAGCAAATTTGTAATTATTATTTACATGTTAACTTAAAAAAAAAAGAAAGTAAAAACAGGCCAAAGTTGTAAATATCATTCACACCAAAACTCTTTATTTTTTACAATTTTTTTCTGTGACATCTTTCCACCATAAAATTTACACAATTTGTACTGTAAATATTCTTATTATACAGATACTTGCTGTTAATATTTAGCAAAATTACAGAAAACATGCATGAATTGACAAAATTATGTGAACAACTGAAAATTTTTAACTCTATTTTTTTTCTGTTATTTTAGTATTTCCTCTGTTTTTACACATAACAACTTGTAAAATCAAAGAAAAAATGTATTTAATTACACATTAAACCTATAAAAACAGGCCAAACTCTAAAAAATGTCATAAAAAAATCTGTATGTAAAAAAGAACGATTGTTCTTTTTTTTAAAACTCTACATATAAATATATATAAATCACCAAAAAAGTTATTTGCTGTCATTTTGAAGAAAAAATATGCATATCAATTGTTGAAAAAATGTAATTGTTTTTTTTTTTTTACCGTTATTTTACAGATCTGTGCTGTTTTGTTCAATTATAGACAGCAACTATCGTAATCACGGACACACACAATAATTTCTGCATTAACTCTAAACATAGCAACAGTTTTACTGTAATAAAATCAGCCAAAAAATTATTATTTTTACAGATTTTTTACTTTTTTGGAAAAGAAAATCAAAGGAAATTTACAATACATTTTCTAGCCTTTAATTTAATTTTAATTATGACAAATTACTGTCTTTTTAATAAAACAGTTATTGCCCATTATATTCCTTTTTTTTTTTTTTTTTAGCTGTTGGAATATTACAGTTTGTGTAAAGTGTGTGAAGTTTGTTGTGTTCAAACAAAGCTAAGAATTTAGAGCAGAAAGCCTGAGTTCCAGATTAGCAGCATAGATTTAAAGGTTTGTATTTTTTAGGTGCATTGTGGGAAACGTAGGCTGCAGCATATCTGTCTGCACCTGCTGCTCTGCCACTGAGGAACCAATATGGAAGCAGGTCTCCCTAACGGGAAAGACCTCTGACCTGCAGACGGACGGGAGCCTCCACATCAGAATACTTGAAGCACAGCTGCTGCCGGCTGAGGAGGGGTCACACCCTGCTGTCTCCCTCCGCCTCCGGAAATAGACCCTGTAGCTAAAGAAGTTACATAAGTCCTGCTTTGTTGAGCGGTTGATTAATGAGCACAGAAGGTAAGAGAGTTGTAATTTCTATTTTGGAGCGTCTGTGTTGTTGGAGTTCTTGGAAGGCGGTGGATGTCCTCCGTCTTCCTCCGTCTTCCTGCAGGAGGGATATGTTCAGTCAGTCTTTCTCTCTGGTATCAGTTAATGTGGATTCTCTTTGGGTTTAGACTTAGAGGGTTTATTCAAGCATTCAGCAGATGAACTCAGTGACCTCTGCAGGAAATCAACACCTGCTTGTGTGATTTGATTTGAACTTTCCAAAGTTCAGTTTGGAGTGTTGCACAGTTGTTCTACTCTGTGAGCTGCAGGATGTGCATTAAATAAACAGGATGAGGAGGCTGAAGAGGGAGAGAAAGCAAAAGAACCACAGAGAATAGAAGCTAAACATTAAGAAAAAAATTTCACAATTAATCAGAGCCTGAAACTGTAAAAAATACAGTAAAATTGTAATATTTGAGCAAAATGACTTTATTCTACATGTGTCACTAGACAATCTGCAAACCTTTTTACCCAAATGAGTTTATGTAAAAAACAAAATATTCTGCGCCTTGCTGCACAACTGACAGCCATACCTGACAGTTCATACCTGACAGTTCATGACCAGGTGAACCCTCTGAACCCCAAAACCTTTTAAAAACATATGAAAATCAAACCATTTAAAAGAACTGGACACTGCTAACACAGAATCAGTCCAACAGTTTTTGAACTCCTCACCTGATGTATCATGAGGTTCCATCTGAAGAAATATCAAATCTAAGCTTGTGTCTGATTGAAAATTCACAAAAATAAACCATTTACCCCAATAGGATTCTGTAAAAAAACTAAAAATTGTCCTTTTCAATGCACAACCCAAAAGTCATGACTGACTCAGCAGCAACTTACAGTCATGTGTCAAAAAAAATCAAGGACTTTTGGACTGAACTGCAGGCTGTGTTTCCACAAAGCAGAGAGGAGACCAAGTGTGGAAACAAAGCACGCATATTAGCAGTACGATAGCTTTAACATGTAGAGACAGGTTCACGCCTCAGTGTCGGTAACCCTTGTGGGCATTTAAAACGTTGTTGTACATGTTGATTCCAGGCTTTTTTTTAATTATGCAAAATATATTATCACTTTTTTTCTTCTTTTTTTTTAATGACTTACAGCATTCTGGTTGCCATGGTGATGGCAGTGAGCATATGTGCAGTGGCCCCTTCAGGAGGCAATGAAGTGAAAGTTTTGAGTGTCTTGTCTGTCCCAGACGTTCATTCCGCAAAACTTGCGGCCGGGAGACTTTGCTGGGCGTCAGGACAGTGAACGGCGCTGGAATTGCAGCAATCGGTTGTGATTTGGACATACTGGGCCAACGCGGAGTCTGATCAGAGACTACGACGACAGTTACCCGAGAGAGAAGGAAGAGCAAACAGTGCAAACGCAAACAAAAGAGGGAGAAGAGAATCAGGATCCATGCTAGACTAAAGGCTAACCCCTCCAGACCAGGACCGTCCTCCTACTCTCCAATGTCCGCTCCCTCCACAACAAGCTGGACGAGTTACGTTTGCTGGGAGGAACCCGCGGAGAGTGGAGGGACTGCTGTGTGTTTGCTTTAACAGAAACATGGCTCCATGACAACATCCCAGACGGACATACAGCTGGAGGGGATGACATTGTTCCAGGTGGACAGACAGACAGCTAGCTCTGGGCAGCAGCATGTGTGTCTTTGTGTCCCTGTAGACCTACCAGGACCTGAAGAGGTTCACCATGTTCAACGTGATGGTGGCGCACATGGACACTGTGGCCACTTCAGGAGACAGTGACAGTGAACATTTAGTGTCTTGTCTATCCCAGGTGTTCATTCGGCAAAATGTAATAAATAAATGATCCTGAAGAAACGCTCTTTCATCTTGCCTGTGCTACTGTGTATGTACAGCAACATGACAATGAACCTGATTTGATTTCATTCTAACTATGTTATGCTGCACAGAGGACATTTCTGAGTTCTCTCTCCGTCTAGTCATGGTGGTGCTGTTTCCATAGGGGTACAGGACTTTATGTTGCTGTGAGAAATGAGTCCACAGTGAGAGAAAGTAGCAGAAAACACCCACAAACAGCTTGGAGTTCAGAGGCTTAAATTCACTTTCACAGAGACACAGGAAATAAAGAGAGGAGGGACATGTTACTAAAAGAACAATATTTATACTTTAATATTATCTCTGGCAGGCATTAGTTGTATTAAATACACATTTTGCGTTCCAGTTTTCTCAGAGCGGATTAAGTTCACATTTGATCAACTTTATTCCAGTCGTGTCAAATCTTAATCTGACTGTCCAGTCCATACCGAGGCAAATAAAATTTGAAACAATTATTATTTACATATGATACAAAAATATATTTCACCAAAAAAAACAAAACAGGAGTGATAAATTTACAATAAGAAGCTCTATAAAATTACAAATATATTTCTATTATAAAAAGCCTTTTTCTTTTAAATACTCTTGCAGCTCCAGGTTCAGATGAGGGAGTGAGCTGGTCTGGGATGATGAATGTTCCAGTGATATTCCACCACCTTGCAGCATGGAGTCCATTACCTCATGAGTGTTTCCATCCTACGAAAAAGCTAATTTTGACCCTTCCTGCGGCCCGTACAGCCCAGGAGCCGTGTGGTCTGGAGTGAGCAGAGCTCTGATGCCGCCGTGGAGCTACTTTGGCAGTTGCTTCTGCCATCCAGCTGCATCCTGTTGGTGAGGGGGTGGTTCAGAGTTTGGGGGGCATGTTAGCTGCTCGGGGGGCTTCCAGACATCCCTTCCTCCCTCATGGCTTCGCTCCAAGATGTCTGCCAGCTTCTGTGTCACATGCCTGAGGACAGACAGACGGACAGACATGATCAGAACTGACTTGATTCTCAGGTTTTACTCGCAAACACCAGTAACCGAGCTTTTCAGGAGGAGCTGAGGGCTCCACAGAAGGACATTCAGAGACCAGGAACAGAGCTCAGAGCAGCACGGCGAAGGTGGAATGAAGGTTCTAACTCCCACTTCTGTCTCATTCCATTCCTGACATTTACAGTTGGAATTTCAGCCCAGCGAGCATTCCTGCTGCTCTGATGCAAGTTCCAACACTCACAGGCCCCGAGTGAGCAAAAGAAGCAGCAACACAAATCAGACGTGTTATTAACCGTGATGCTCTGTGAGCTGCTTAACAGATCTTAGATCAGGTGACATTCTACTGATGTGGCCCCTAAATGCCTTCATGTGCTTTATGAGCTTTAAAGAACAGCACTTTTTATCCTAAACTAAGACAGAAACATCAGGAGGTACAGAT